TTTATGTTTGGACTTCTGTGCAGTGAAATATATTTCACAGCTTTCATGAAAGCCCCATTTTCTGTTTATAAGACACTGGAAATAATCTTAAGATTTGAATTAACCTGATTAAAAACAAATCCAGCAATAACAGAAAACATTTGAGTAAAAGTTATGAACTCACCGAACCTGTAAGGTTGAGTAGCTTGAGCTAGTGCTCATTGGAGTGTAGGAGAATGAGAGGAGACCTTTTTTGAAAGACTCTTAGGGAACTTCACAGGGGAGATGTGGAGAGGCTGTTTCCCTTTATGGGAGAATCTGGACCAGAGGGTCATCATCTCAGAGTAAGGGGTTGCCCAATTAGGACAGAGATAAGGAAGAATTTCTTTTATCAGAGGGTGGTGAATCTGTGGAATTATTTTTATAGCAGAGGGCTGTTGAGGCTGGTTATTAAGAATATTCAAGGCTGACATAGATTTTTAGTTAGTAAGAGAATTGAGGTTATGGGGGAAAGGCAGGAAAGTGGAGTTGAGGATGATCAGATCAGCCATGATCTTATTGGATGGTGGATCAGACTTGATGGGTACTTCCCAATTCTGGCATATTGCAAAGTGAGGTGAGAGTGACTACCCTTGACATAAAAACAGCCTTTGATTGAATGGCATCATTCAGACCTAGCAATATTGGAGTCAATGGGATTCAGGGGAAAGTTTCTGCTGGTTGGCACAAAGGATGATTATGGTTGTTGGAGGTCAACCATCTCAACCCCAAGACATCACAGCAGGAATTCCTCAGCCCTCGCCATCTTTCAGTTACTTTATCAATGACCTTTCGTCCATCATAAGATCAGGAGTGCGGACATTCTCTGATGATTGCTCAATGTTCAGCAACATTTGCTACTCCTCAGATACTGAAACCGTCCACGACAATGTGCAGCAAGACCTGGATGATATCTTGGCTCATGCTGATAAATACGAAGTAATATTTGTGCCACACAAATGCCAGGCAATGGCCTTTTACAGTATGACCTTGACGTTCTGTGGCATTAAAAATGCTAAATCTCCCACTGGCGTTATCATTGATCAGAAACCAAACTGAACTAGGGTGGAATGGTGGCTCAGTGGTTAGCACTGCTGCCTCACAGTGCTAGGGACCTAGGTTCAATTCCACCCTCGGGTGACTGTCTGTGTGGAGTTTGCATATTCTCCCTGTGTCTGTGTGGGTTTCCTCATGGTGCTCTGGTTTTGTCCCACAGTCCAAAGATGTGCAGGTTAGGATGGATTGGCCATGCTAAATTGCCCATAGTGTTCAGGGATGTGTAGATTAGGTGGTTTATAGGGGAATGGATCTGGGTGGGATGCTCTGAGGGTCAGTGTGCACTTGTTGGGCTGAAGGGCCTGTTTCCACACTATAGGGATTCTATGATTCTGTGATCTATGAACCAGCCATGTAGATACAAGAGCAGGTCAGAAGCTAGGAATTCCATGGCAAGTGACTTATCTCCTGTTGCCTCAGCATCTGTTCACCATCTCCAAGGCACAGTATGATAGAATATTCCCCACTTGCTTGGATGGGTACAGTTCCAACTTCACACAAGAGGTTTGACACCATCTAGGACAAGGCAACACACTTAATTGGTACCTGATCCATGACAATAAACAATCTCCACCACCGATGCTCAGTCACAGCAATGTGTACCATCTACAAGATGTGCTGCAGAAAATCACCAAGGCTCCTCAGATAGCACCTTCCAAAACCACGACCACTTCCATCTAGAAGGACAAGGGCAGCAGATATATGGGAACACCACCACCTACGAGTTCCCCTCCGAGCCACTCACCGCCCTGACTCAGAAATATGTCACCATTCCTTTACTATGGCTGGGTCAAAATCCTGGAATTCCCTCCCCAATGGCATTGTGGGTCTTCCTTTGGCATATGGACAGCCGCGGTTTAAGAAAGCACCTCACCACTACCTTCTCAAGGGCAACTAGGATGGGCAATAAATGCTGGCCCACATCTAACAAGTGAAACAAATAACAGATGCCTGCTTGAAGATTTTCATTTTGCCACCTTTGGTATCAACCCAGTTGTGGAGTGTGTGCGCTATTAGAAAACCCTTGTCCTGATTACTTGTTTGCTGATGGAGGGACCTAGCAACAGGGAGTGGGCAGAGTGTCGGTGGTGGTGAGAGTGGACATTTGTGGATATGTTGCCAATCTTGGCGGGTTGCTTTGTCCCCAGATGGTGTCAAGCTTCTTGAGTGTTGTTGGGGCTGCACTCATCCAGGGGCAAGTGGGGAGTATTCCATCACACTCCTGACTTGTGCCTTGTAGATGGTGGACAGGCTTTGGGGAATCAGGAGGTGAGTTACTTGCCGCAGTATTCCTAACCTCTGACCTGCTCTTGTACCCATTGTGTTTATACGGCTAGTCCAGCTCAGTTTCCAGTTAACGGTAAACCCCCCACCCCCCCAAGTTTGTTGATGGTGGGTAACACCATTGAACGAGAATGGCTGGTGGTGAGGTTGTCATTAAGGGCTTCATTTGACAGCAGGCAGGCTGGGTGCAATCTATAGGCCTTCCCGCCATTGGACCTCATTGTGTGGGAAGCAGAACGATGGTGGGTTCCTTGACTTCCACCTCTAACCTGGTTAAATGCTTTACCACCCAGCAAGCCCCCCCACCCCCTCAATTAGGCTAGCCTTGGGGAAGGCACAGACAAACAGACAAAATCAGTGCAGCGGTAGGCCATTTGGCCTCTTGAGGCTGCCCGGCCATTCCATGACTGATCTGTTTGTCTTTCGCATTCCACATTGCCACCTACCTCCGATAAAGTCCCAGAAGGAGAAGATAGTAAAGGCTGGTGAATGAGACATGCTGTCTGAGCTGCCTTGTATCTCTCAAAATGGGGAACCAGTAAGACCAGTACACTCATTTCCCAGTATTACTGGTTTCTAACTGGTATTCCGCTTACCTACCTTCACCTTAAAAATGTTCATGGACAGTGTTTGTGGGCAGTATGGTGACACAGCGGTTAGCACAGCGCCAGGGACCTGGATTCGATTCCACCCTCAGGTGACTGTGTGGAGTTTGCACATTCTCCCCGTGACTGCGTGGGTTTCCTCCAGTTTCCTCCCACAGACCAAAGATGCGCAGGTTAGGTGGATTGGCCATGGGAAATGCTGGGTTGCAAGGATAGGGTAGTGGGGCGGACCTAGGTGAGATGTTCTTCGGAGGGTCAGCATGCAAGCAATGGGCTGAATGGCCAACTTCCACACAGTAGGGATTGTATGACACCACTTCTATCGCCTTCTGGAGCAAGGAACTCCCAAAGTGACACCACCCTCTGAGGAACATCTCTGTTTTAAAGAGGTGACCCCTAATTTTAAAACAGTGACCCCCTGGCTCTTAAATGATCCACCAGAGAAAACATGTTCACATTGTCAGGATCCACAATCAAATCACCCCTCCCTCTGTCTTTTATGAAGTGAGAAAATGCAGATACAATGGGATATGATTCCTGTATAGAGGTCGCGAGCTGGGTTATTTTTTAAGCCAGGTCACATACTGTTCACAATTAGAGATTATGCTATCAGTAGCAAACCATAACAGTCTGCATTGCTAACTCCAAATAACAGTCGACGAGTAGCTAAGGAATAGAGAGAGAGCTATTTAGAATTTCTTGACAATTGAGCTGTTAAAATGTAGTGCAAAGTTCTTAGCACGATTACAGACATTTTGCGATTGCAGAAATGTTTTTACAATTCTTGTAGATAAACCAGTTGCGCGCTCTTCCTCAAAAAGCAGACTCCTTGAATGTTTCAAAATCAGAGGTAGGCACAGCATTGGTACAGTGAGCGGGCCAAGGATATGATGGTTCAGTGGTCAGCAGTTGGCACTGCTGCCTCACAGCACCAGGGACCTGGGTTCGATTCCACCCTTGTGCGAATATCTGTGTGTCATTTGTACATTCTCCCCGTGTCTGCGTGGGTTTCCTCCCACAGTCCAAAGATGCGCAGGTTAGGGTGGATTGGCCATGGGAAATTGCCCGTAGTGTCCAGGGATGTGCAGGTTAGGTGGGTTAGCCACGGGAAATGCAGGCATAGTGTCGTCGGTGGTGGGGCGTCTTGGGTCTGGGTGGAAAGCTGTTTGGAGGGTTTGTGTGAACTCGATGGGCTGAATGGCCTGTTTCCACACTGTATGGATTCTATGATATGAAGGGTAGGCAAGAATGTGGAGTTGAGGGTACAGTTGGATCAGCCATGATTGTGTAGGCCTGAGAGGTCTGAAGGCCTACTCCTGCTCCTAGCCCATCTGTTCGGATGTACACTTCGAAAAGATCTGAAATGTGTCAAATATACCACACAAATAAACAATTAAGAGGCAGCCTCCAGGAGTGGGCAATAGGGGTGCCTAAGACTGGGAGGGGTGGGCACTGCCATAGTAGGTGGGGCACATTGGGGGGTACCTCATGGTGGGAGGACACAGCTACCTACATCACACTATCGCAGAGCTTTGCCCCTCTGCCACTTGAGGTGCCAGTTTGAGTGGGCAGGATTTTTTTTCGGAAAAAGAGTGGCACAGCAAACCACTTGGATACCACCTCCATTCACCTTCTGGACCTCAGCCTCAAGAGGCTGGAAAGTACCAGACCATGTTGTGGTGAATAATGCCATTCATTGGCACCTTAACTGACCTTAGTGTCTATTTTGGTGGGCAAATAGTCTTGGCACCCACACATCCCTCCCTGAAGCTGGCTTGCTGAAAATAGTTCCGAGGTGGGCATTGACTGGCAGATCCATACAAGGGTCAGTAGCACAAAATTGACAACACACCCACCTCCAAAACCACCACCACTTGTGTGATTAAAAATCCAGTCTATTTCCTTTTCCGAAGAAGGGTCCACACCCGAAACGTCAGCTTTCCTGCTCCTGTGATGCTGCTTGGCCTGCTGTGTTCCTCCAGCTCTACACCTTGTTATCTCTATTTTCTTGTTCTGTTTTCCCTGGTCTCTTCACAGTGGTGATCCTGGATGTAGCAGACAGCAGAACCAAGGAGCTGTTGATTAGTTACCGCATTCCTGTTGTCTACTTGCAGGTGTTCCGTCATTACCACGTCGAGCTGGTGCAGGTTGGTGGAGATAAACTCTCTGGTAGGGTGCCATGGTGGCTCAGTGATTAGCGCTGCTGCCTCACAGCACCATGTACCCAGGTTCGATTCCAACCTCGGGTGACTGTCTGTGTGGAGTTTGCACGTTCTCCCCATGTCTGCGTGGGTTTCCTCCCACAGTCCAACAATGTGCAGGTTAGGATGGATAGGCCATGCTAAATTGCCCATGGCATCCGGGGATGTGCGGCTGGGTGGATTAGCCATAGGAAATGCAGGGTGATGGGGTGGGGGGAGTGGGGTTGGATCTGGGTGGGCTGTTCTTGGAGAGTTGGTGTGGACTCAATGGGCTGAATGGCCTGCCCCCATTGTAGGGATTCCACGATCTAGGGAACAGCAGTGGAACTCTCCCTGGTGCCCTGACCCATAGCTATCCCCCAACGCCAACCCCAACCACAGTCACTGAAAAATGAAGATCTGACCATTTGCCTTGTTATGGTTTGTGGGAGCTTGCTGTGTGCAAGTTGCTGCAAATGTTTCCTACACAACAACAATCGCTACACTTCTAAACTGGGTGCAGAGAGTGTTTTGGAATGTGCTGGGGATCTACATAATTGCAAAATGCATCCTATCTGTGGGAGTAATGTGTTGGAAGGGTTTCATTTCTGAAAGGGCTAGCACAAAGTGGAGAGTTTCCAGTCGTGAATGAGCATAATGTGGTGCAACATTGACCCAGGTACGCAAGGGAAGGTCAGGGCTAATGCTTGGGAGTGATAACAGGATTGCTGCTTTTGGCCACTATCCAGTGAAGTATGAACTTTTTATTTAATTCACCCACAGGATGTAGGCATCGCTGGCAAAACCAGCATATAATTGCCCAGAGGGAACTTAACAGTCAACCACATTGCTGTGGACCTGGAGTCACATGGAGGCCAGACCAGGTAAGGATGACAGTTTCCTTCCCTAAAGGTGCAGGAGTGAACCATACAGGTTTTTGAAATTAGACCCTTAAATTAAGAATTCTAGATCCGTTATTGAATTCAAATTCCACCAACTGCCCGAAACATTACCTGAGTTTCTGGGTTAGTAATCTAGCAATAATACCACTGGGCTATCTCATCCCTGTATCTGCCTTTGTATCCTTGACCACAGCACACTGTTCCAGCTGAAACTAAGGTGTATCCTGCAGTACCTGACATGACACCGCTCCGCCACATTGAAATGAACCCAGGAAGAGCAACCCTCTGGTCTGAAAGGTAGCTTTGGCAAAATCTGAAAGAGAAACAGGACCCAGTTTGAATCTGCTGACCCCATCCCATACAAACACAAAATACATGTCAGTCCTTCTCCCTTTGATTCTCATCTGCACCAGTGCATTGGATCTAAAGTACAGAGCCCTCGTCCAAATTTGCTTCAACTTTGCAACCCGCAACCCTGACTTCTGCACCCTCCTCTGGTTTGATGTCCTGAATCCTCTCTCTAGGTCATCCCCTTTGTAGACACTTGCAAATACTTCCTATCCTTTGGCAGCCTTGTCCCCATCACTGGAAGTCTCTTCCAAATCCTTGCTACTACAACTCCTTACTCTATGTTTAGAGAGTGGCTTCCCTAGCCACTCTTGCACTTTTCCCTGATGCAGTTCTCCCTGGTGAAGTGCCTGAGGATATTTGCAAGGTTAGGGGCAGTGCAACTTGTTGCTTTCATGTACCTCTGTCTTTTATTTAGATGGTGACCGTTCTATAGCGTGCCTGAGTTTCTATTCACAGAGGGGCCTTAGAAATAATCTAAGAGACTACAGGCTCCAAATTACAATATGGCCTGTGCTTTTGATTTACTTGAAGAGACTCAATGCTGATTTCTAATTATGTAACGTGTTATTGTGACTTGATTGGGAAGAGTTCACTGATAATCAAACCCCACTGTTCTGCAAGGCATCACAAAAATGTACAAATGTACAAAATCTCAATGAGATATCAAAAGGATGAACTTGCCTGACTGACCACCACTCAGGACAAAAGCAGTTCACACCAGATACTTCAGTAACAGAGAAAAATAACAATTTATAGTAAGACTCTCAACTTTAACAAGAAAAATGGAAGGAAAGGATTTCTAATTTATGCAACTTAAACTGTACTTCTTCAAAACTCTGAATGTAAATCACACTTATGACAGACAAAAGACAAATGGTTTAATAAATACATTATGAGTGGAAAGAAATACAGACAGGGTAACCAAAATTCTGCAGATCAAAAGTCTAGACCATGAGTTATTTTCCTCACAGACCTTAAGAATTTAGCAATTATGATGTTGACTGTAGGGTGACGGTCATCCTTTGATTAAAAAAAAAACGAAAGACCTACGGATGCTGTAAATCAGGAACAAAAACAAAGTTGCTGAAAAAGCTCAGCAGGTCTGGCAGCATCTTTGAAGGAAAAAACAGAGTTAACGTTTCGGATCCGGTGACCCTTCCTCAGAACTGATGGTGGCTGGGAAAACATCAGTTTATATGCAGAAAATAGGGAGGTGGGTGGGGTAGGGAGTAAA